ATACAAAAACTTTCTCCACCCTCGAAATTAAAGACTCCAAGCCTAGACGGTTTTCTAGGTGATTTTAACCAAATCTTCAAGGAACAGATAGAATTACCTGTTGTAAAATTAGAAAGAGAATTAGGAAGAGAACAAAAGCTATCTAACTCATCTGCGGATATTTTACTTTGCTGTAAAAATTGGAAAAAAAAGGCAATATAAGAAAGAAAATCATAGACCAAGCTCACCTATTGGCATGAAGATAACAGTTCTTTAAAAATCAGAAAATTAAACTCAGCAACACATAAAAATCATCTTTTTGAATGAGTTTCAATGGATGTTACAGTGTATTATGACTCAGCAGTAGAGAACCGCTCTCCTGACTGCCTCTAGTTCACCTTAAAGCTTCCTCCAGGATGATCTTATCAAAATACAAATCCAATTATGCCACTACCCCACTTAAAACACTTTATCCGCTGTCCTGCTTGCTCTCCCTCTGACCTCACCTTCAGTATATTACAAACCTGCATACCTGCTCTGTATAAATGATAAGGACCTCTATCAGGCTGCCTTTGCTTCCTTCAATTAGTATTCTTTGCCCCATATGCTGTGCTTCAAATTATATAAACTGAAATAGCCTCAACATAGCACGCTTTGTTATTTCTGTATCTTTGTTTCCCTAGAACCTCCCTCAACTTTTGTTGTACAATAAGACACCTACTCTAGTTTAAAAGCTCAGCATCTAGCTCTGTGAGGCTTTTTCTACTCTCCTCTAATTCCTAAATCACTAAAGTAGATCTGATCACTCCCCTATTGAACCCAGAAACTAATTCTATTGAAGCTTTTCTAATATGTTATATTTGCATTGACACTTCCCTCTTCCTGGACAGTCTACTTCCTTAAGGCAAAGATTGTGTCATTTTTCTTAGTAACCTTGTTTTCTGGCATATAGTAGGGCCTAAAGAATGAACTAACCCTAGTAGAGGGAGTTTCCTGGTAATGTTCAATTCTCCAGTCTTTAACCCAGTATATTGTCATAGACAGGATTTCAGTAATTGTTGAATGAAAGTGGTTAACTATTTCATATCATAAGACTTTGGGTATATAAAGTCTTTTAGTGTCATTTGATGTGCACTATAACCACAACTGTGTTCATAATTATGGGTATAAAGTTTAGTCTTATAATAGGCCAGGCATGGTGGCTTATGCCTGTAGCCCCAGCACTATGGGAGGCCAAGGCAGGCCGATTGCTTGAGGCTGATGGCTTGAGCCCAGGAGTTGGACACCAGCTTGCGCAACATGGCAAAACCTCATCTCTACGAAAAATTACAAAAACTAGCTGGGCGTGGTAGTCCCAGCTACTCAGGAGGCTGAGGTGGGAGGATCACCTGAGCCCGAGAAGGTTGAGGTTGCAGTGAGTCAAGATCGCACCACTGCACTCCAGCCTGGACACAGAGTGAGACCCTGTCTTAAAAAAAATTCTTTTCAAGTTAATTCTTGTAATAAATAAAACATAAGACAACAATTTAAAGCAGATGTTCCAAGAAAATTGACAACAGCAGCAGAGAGGGAAAAAGTGCAAAGACCACAAACATGCTAAAAGACTTAAAAATCTGATTGAGTAAAAGAGTAAGGGGAACAGGATCCAGCAGACTAGTGCTATTGTACTTATTTCAAAGACAGCAAAACAAAGATTGAATGCAACTTTTGGATTCCCATATCATGATTAACTGCTACATGAAGGATAGCAAATGTCTACACATGTAAATGAGACCTTAGGACAATTAACCTTCAGAAAAACACCATCCCATTGGATATATAAGTAGAAGAAAATGTGACAAATAATAAGGCCAGGAATAGTGGCTCACACCTGTAATCCCAGGTGTGATTGAGGCAGGTGGATCACTTGAGGTTAGGAGTTCAAGAGCAGCCTGGCCCACATGGTAAAACCCTGTCTCTACTAAAACTATAAGAATTAGCCTGGTGTGGTGGCGTGCGCCTGCAATAGCAGCTACTCAGGAGGCTGAGGTCAGATAATTGCTTGAACCCGGGAGGCAGAGGTTGCAGTGAGCCAAGATTGCGCCACTGCACTCCAGCCTGAGTGACTCCGTCTCACACACACAAAAAATAATAAATTAAAAAAAATCACGTCACAGGAACTCAGGGGAAAAAATAAAATGAAGGCTTTTTTCTTGAGATAAACTTCAAGCAGTCTCATTAAAATAAAATATAAGCAGAAAGTGGTCTAAGCAAGCATGTGTCTGCAGCCACAAAATCTTAGAAGTAGATCAGGTCATGCAGAGAAACAGGCAATGTCTTTCAGTAGACAATCAAGACCATCTTTCCTGCTCGACCATACACTCTTCAAGGCCCGGACTTTGCCTGTTCTACTTATCTCATCCACAACACTGTGCACACTGCCAGGTACCACGTATGCACTCAGATATTTGATAAATTGAATCAGAATGCAAAGGGGTATTACGGAGATTTACACTGATGAAGTTGTCTTGTTGGTTAGAGAAAAGTTAGCTATTCTCTCAATCAATCAAGCAAAGGCAAATAGCTTTTTGTTTTTTGTTTTTAAATCTGCTGGCACCAAGCAGCCTTCTCCTTCTGGCCACAGCAGACAGTGCTGCCAAATGACTGGTCCTACTTTCCTCCAGGCAGCATGAGGCCAGGATTTTTACAATGGATTCATGGGAACAGGGCCAGTAAACCCTAGGTTCCCCAGAGAAAAACTGGGCAATAATTCAAGCTCTTCTGAAAAAAGCAGGGCAAGACTACAAAGGCATTCATTCAGTCACTTAGTAAATATTTATTCAGTACCCACTACATATGAGGTATTGTGTAGGGCACCAAAGGCTCTAAGTACCTGAGATTAACATCATGCTTGCAGGATGGCCATCATGCAAGTGTAGGCCACTACTTCCTCTGTGGCACTGTTCCTAAATTCAGCCAATTTAAATAGATTTCTGCGTCATCAAGGGCATGCTTAAAATAACAAAATGACGAGAGTATTATAACAGAACCCTAGCATACCAAAAGTGTCTCTGTGCTTTAGTTGCCAAAATATTTTTAGCTTCAGCCCCACCCATGAAATTTATAAAAGTTCCTAGAATTTGAGTTCCCTTAAGATAGGAATAATGTTTCTTTGTTTGCTTTTCTGGATAGATTTTGTTACAAAACCAGCAAATATTCATTTATTGGTTCATTCATTCATTCATTCATTCATGTGCTGAGCACCTACTATGAGTCAGATGCACCAGGTATACTATGATGAACTAAACAGTTCCTTCCTAATGAGAGGAAAGCAGACATCAAATAAAAGAACAATAAAAAAGCAAATCAATAAAAGACTACAATTTATTGTATAGTAAGTTTAACTAAGCTAACAAGATAAGGTGATATGTTGGTTAGTGACTGGGGCAGCGAAGAGAAGCTACTTGACACAGGTTATTCAGGAAGGTGGGTCTGAGAGGGCAAATCTTAGCTGAGACTGAAAGAATACAAAGGAGCCAGCCACTGGAAGAAATAAAGGGAGAGTATTTCAGATGGAGGGAAAAGCTAGTGCAGACCCTGATACAAACTGGGCATGTTTAAGGAACCAAAGAAGGGGCTGTGTGGCTGCAGTGTAGAGTGGGGAGGGCAGGAAGTATAAGAGAAGTCCCCATGCTTGTAGCCAGGTGGGATACAGTGACATTTACTCACAACATTCACCCACTCAGTATCTATCCTGTCCCCCACCCCCCAAACTCTCTTCTGTGTTCTGGGGACAGAAAGATGTGTATGCTTTTGAATAGCTCTGAGCTCAGAGACAAGTATGTAAACAAACAGTCTAGGAGAAAATGAAACATGTGCTAACAGAGGTGTGTGCAAAATGCTACCAGATTCCAGATAAGGAAAAGTAAATCATTTAAGAAGGAAGAGGAATGTCAGGGCAAGCTTCTCTGATGTGTCAACATTTCAGCTTGCTCTTAAACAATTAGTAAGAGGGAAAAGTCAGAGAAGGCAAGAAGGACATTCCAAGCAGAAGATTCTATTTGTAAAGTGAGAGAAACTTTACATCCCCAGTGGGGATCTCCTGAAGGTCCAGTTGGAGCCTGAGCTATGAGGAGGTTAGGGAGTAGGAGAGGACATAATTTTAAGAATTTTGATGATGATGCTAGAGAGCCTGGATTTGTGCAGAAGTAATAGGACACAAGCTTTGATTCTAGAAGAGAGCTGTGGCAGCTGCTGTGAAGGGTGAATCAGATAAGCAAACAGCTGGGGGCAGGAAGATGAACTTTGTTAGCTGTTGCAATAATCCAGGCAAGAAAGTAGAAGAATTGGAATTATGGCAATGAGAGAGAAATGGAGCCTTGTAGTTTATAGGTGCAAGGAGAAAGAGAACAAACAAGGGCAGGGCGTAAGAGCAGGTCCAGCATAAATCAACAGCACTTGAGTCTGCCCTGAATATGGCTTTTGGTGTGTCTTCTTAATTCCTTTATTTTATTGGCTCCTTTATTAAAGCTTGTACTTGATGCTGAAGGATTTAGTACTCTCTTTCTCCTTCCCCTTACACCTTCCAAGAGGATTATCTATTAATCCAAATGCTGACAGTCATTCATTTCCATTACAAAAATAGTCCTTCCCTATAACAGGATCCTTGCTGCAAATAGATGAGCATTTTAAATAGAGCCTGAGAAAATGATTCTCAGCACTTTCTATAATCCATGTTTATTGTATGAGCCTTTACTGTGTTTTATGTTAATAGAATTTACCAACAAAAGCAATGGATATCAAATTGAGATAAAAAAATGTAATAAATATTGAGTATCTAATTTTATTCATTTCTTCATTCAGTAGGCGCTAAGCAGAAAGCACAGTGCTGGGCACTATAGGAAACACGTGTAAGAATCAATCTTGGAGGGTTTAAATTCTGGCAGGGGATATTAGACATATAAATAATAATATGAGATAAAATGAGATATGTGTCATAAAGAAAGGCATAAGGTATCATGAATTTAAGAAGGAATGATTACTTCTGGTTGCTGTAGTCATGATGCGTTGATGAAATTGGGGATGTTGAAGCTGAGGTTCAGTGCAGGAGATTTTTCTTGTGGAAGAGACTTCACAAAGGCAGAGAGCTGGGGACAGGTGAGACACAGAGTGAGTATTTAGTTTGGCTGGGGCAGGAGTTGTGTATATGGAATCAGCCAAAGTGAAGCCTGGTCTCAATGCCCTGCTGAGCAGCGGATGGGGCACAGCCTACTGAAGGCCAGCTTTGAACAGGAACTGGAACTGGAGTGATCTAAGAGTAAGTTTTTAAGGCGATTCATCTTGGCAGTGGTAGATAAAATAGATTAGATTGGAGAGAGATTGGAAACTGTTTAGAAGGCTATTGAAATAGTCTACGGCAGCAGTAACGAAAGTCGGAAATAAGAGCGGATGCCATGGAATAAAAAATGAAAGAGTGGACTTGAGAGGTCTTAGCAAAAGATCTCAAGTCACTCCGTTTTTCCAGAAGCAAGAGACAGCAAAGCAGGTTTTACTTTTCCCCACTGCTAAATCACGTATGCTATTTTTGAAGAAAGATACAATTTTATCACATAATTTAAGAAAGTGACAGTATAACAATAGTACTGAATTATTCTCTGGGTGATTTCAAATTTACTAATTAATTCTATTATTAATGCCTTTTTTTAAAAAATTAGGAACCGGGTTTTCTTTTTTTTGCCCGGGTTGTTTTTGATTTCTTGGCTTTTCTTGCTTAGGCTTTTCAAGTTTTTGGATTTCCGGGCTTGGGTTCTGCGCCTGACCTATTAATGATATATTTTTAAAGTTTTTTTCTAATTTTTAAACAAGATTTTTAATTAAAAAAGCAATTCATATACAAGGTAAAACTCCAAACACTACAGAGCGGTATATGAAACGAAAACCCCTCTTTCATCTAAAGTCTCTGTCCCGTATTCCAGAGGCAATTGCTGTTATCACTTTCTAAGATATTGTTCAAAAATTTTCTAGCCATTTAAAAGCCTATATATGTACATATATTGTTCTCTATCTTTTCATTTCTCTTATTTTTCTTTTCTTTTGATTTTTTAGTCATATCATGTGCTTGACTCCCCTGTCTTTTGACCAATATGTTCCCATTCTGCCTTTTAATTTTTTTTCTTTTCTGTTTCCATATGCTTTCTCCAATATAGGATTTCTCAGCCTTTTCACAATTGGCATTTTTGGCTGGATAATCCTTTGTTGTGGAGGAGCTCTCCTGGGCATTGCAGATGTTAGGAAGAATCCCTGGCCTCTTTGCCCAGATCCAAAATTTGGGCAAAGAAAAATCTTCTGGAAAGAATTCAGCATTCTAGATGCCAATAAAAACACTGATGTTTCATGTAAGGAGATCAAAATATCAACATTAACAGGGATCTGGAAGAAGTTGATTATGACTTTTATGACTGCTAGTTTCAAAATTTCATTGAAGGAACTAACTGTGGATGTGGTAGAAACAGCAAGAGAACTTGAATTAGAAGTGAACCCTGAAGATGTGACTAGATAGCTGCTATCTCATGATCAAATTTAAATGGATGAGGAGTTGCTTCGTAGGGACGAACAAAGAAAGTGGTTTCTTGATATGAGATCTAATCCTGGTGAAGATGCTCTGAACATTGTTGAAATGACAACGAAGTTCTTAAACTATTACAGAAACTTAGTTGATAAAGCAGTGGTAGGATTTGAGAGGACTGACTCCAATTTTGAAAGAAGTTGTACTGTGGGTAAAATGCTATCAAATAGCATTGCATGATACAGATAAATTGTTCATGAAAAGAAGAGTACAGGGATGCAGCAAACTTCATTGTTGTCTTATTTTAAGAAATTGCCACAGTCACTCCATTCTTCAACAACCACTACCCTGGTCTATTAGAAACCATCAATATCAAGGCAAGATTCTCCACCAACAAAAAGCTTATGATTCACTGATGGCTCAGATGATCATTAGCATTTTTCAGCAATAAAGTATTTTTACATTAAGGTATGTGCCTTACTTTTTCAGACATAATGTCTTTGTACCTTTTACAGACTACGGTATAGTGTAAACATAACTTTTATATGCACTGGGAAACAAAAAATTCATGTGACTCATTTTATTGGAATATTCACTTTAGTGCAGTGGTCTGGAGCCAAACCTGTAATATACTGAGGTAAGCCTTTATATATCCTAAACACCATGAGATTCTCATTAAAGTAGAAACAAAATGCATGCAAGTAATTTTCCTAGGTATTTATGGGGGTTATGAAGAGTTATAGACATTAATCATCAAGGTTATGATGTTATTTGGAGACAAAAAAACTAGACATATGAAAATGATACCAACCTTACAAAGCAGAGCATATGGTGCTCAAATAAATGATGAAGAGATAAATGCTACTGAATTTAGAGGAAACAAAGAGGCAAGTTTTATAATTAAAACAATAATTTTTGAATGAATGATTTATAAATTAACGTGTGTGTGCATGCCATGGGGAATGTAAGGATAGATTGGTTAGGGTGGATGGCATACTGGAGCTGCTTACACCTTGGAAATTAATAATGTAATAATCAACGAATTCCCACTGAAAGACTGGGAAGTTTGCTTTAGATCTTTTATCAGGTGATCCTGAAAACCTGAATGGGGTGGTATTTGAGAACAGCAAATCCGGGATTTTTTACTTATGTTTAAGGGGGCAAATAGTCCTTAGATCATATGTAATGTGGGGCCAAGTAAACCTCTTGTCTTCTTTCCCTCATCCTTTTTACCCTTCAGTGAACATTTACTGTGTGTCAACTGTATGTCAGTTCTTTACAAGGCACCAGGAATACAACTGTGAGTAGGACACAGAGCAGGATTCAGTTCTCATGGAAGTTTCGATCAAACAAAAGCTTTCTATACATTTATATACATTACATAGAATGTAAACTTTATATATATTCTATATACTCTGCATATAGAATGTATTAATTCTCTGGAAGATTCTAGTGTTATTTCCAATCTCTAAACCATCTGTATTCATAATGCATGTTTATGGTCTATTGTCTCTGTCTCTATAAAGGCAATTAAATATTACCTTATAAACTTTCCAGATATGTTAGAAATTATAAGCTACACTGACCACAATAATTGATTTGCCACTGCAGTGCTACTCTGTCAGGATTGAGAGGCAGCAGATATTCTATTTGTTTGAAATAACTTCCTAGATGTTTGGGTGAGACAGTGAGGAATCACTAATCAAACTGAAAGTAGAACCATGTTAAGAAAGCAGAATGTAATTATCCAGTTGGAATTTGGCTAGTATGGTAAGACAGATTCTCTAAATTCCTAAGGAAGAGAAAATGACAATGTTAAATTATGCTAAACTTCAGCCATGAATTTATTTCTGACTCAGGTACAGATACCACAATATTTTTTGAATCTCTACCAGTCCTACATTCTTGATAACCCCACTGAAGGGTTTGGAGTCCTAGGAGTTTGGATATAAGCCATGAAAACATTTACTCAGGAAAGCTCATTTCTCTTATGTGGACAGGATCATTTATATAGTAGACATTTAGAAAAGCTATATTAGTGTTTAGGGCTGTAAGCTCTCTGAACGAGGGGTAGAAGTTGTAGCAAATACATTAATATCAGCTCATTGCTAGAAGCTGAGTGCTGTTTAGAAAACAACATGCTCAATCCTAAATCTGGGAGGACAAAGGCTTTTTTGATCACAGACACATATTGATAATTTCTCGAAAGCTATTAATATGACCCCCCCAAACTGTTTCTCTCTCACACACACCTTCATGTATATGTGCACATGCATTGTGTGCACACATTTATATGCAATTTTTAGGGTTGGAGGGCATCAGTTCTCTGAATTCAATCTATGGGCCCTCACATTCCAGGTTTAGAAGCTATGGTTCAGTCAGCTTGATTCTCTATGGGCTGCTGCTTCAGGCTAAGAAAACTAAATTCTCTCCTTTAACATAAGAACTGCTAAGGAATCTATCATCTCAGTGCTATTTAGAAATTTGGGTTAAATAATTTGCATATAAAGAGGCCTTACATGTTGGGTTTCTTTAATCTTAATATATATCTATCTTTATCTCATCAGAAAACAGATTGTATTTTATTTTCTCTCTTCTAAGGAAATGATAAAAATAATCATTATATAACTTATTTACTCAGTCTTAAGTTCATTGTTGCCTTTTTTTGATGGCAAATTTCTTGGGGTTAGCTACTTAAAAATACTTTCAAGAGTATTTTACAAATTATAAACACTTTAACATTGCTAATATTTCGTGATTTTTTTTTTTATTTGGAAAAAATTAGGGTATTTGAATCAAATAATTCAACTGGATTTTTTTCTTGGGATATTTAAAACAAATTACTAGACACCCCAATGTGCCAGGTATACTTTGAAGTTACTTCTTTAAAACTAGTTTGTTTATTTATTATTATTATTAGAGACAGAGTTTCACTGTTGTTGACCAGGCTTGAGTACAACGGTGCAATCTTGGCTCACTGCCACCTATGCCTCCTGGGTTCAAGCAATTCTCCTGCCTCAGCCTCCTGAGTAGCTAGGATTACAGGCGCCCACCACCATGTGTGGCTATTTTTTTGTATTTTTAGTAGATGGCCAAGTTAGTCTCGAACTCCTGATCTCAGGTGATCCACTCACCTGGGCCTCCCAAAGTACTGGGATTACAGGCATAAGCCACCACGCCCAGCCTACTGGTTTTTTTTTGTTTTTTTTTTTTTTTTTTAAATTAAAGAATTAGAACATGTTTATACCATCTCACTGGGTATTCTTTACTCTTTTAAAAAGGATCTTTGGTCTAGCTCTCACAGCAGACACTCATTTATCCTCCCTTCTTTCTTTCTTACATGATTTACTACAATGAGACGTATTGAGATAGTCAATCAACACATTTATTGATTATCTATTCTACAAGGCATTATGTCAGATGGGATGGGGAATCCAAAGATGTTTAAGACAGGTCTTCCAGAGAATATAATCCATTGTCAAAGATAAGATAAGAACCAGATAATATAAACTTAATGTTATGACTGTATTTATAGTTTTGCTTGTAGAGGTTAAATATGTTTCATGCTAGATTTATTTGGCAAGTGGTAACTATATTTTACTCCAGAACTCCATAGTAAATAGAGGATTTAACATCATCATTTA